TGATTGATACAAACATTGATGTTGAGACAGATGATGTGTAATACTATGATGTGGTCGTGATATGATTGTGATTGAGACAGACGATGTGTAATACTATGATGTGGTCGTGATATGGTTGTGATTGAGACAGATAATGTGTAATACTATGATGTGATCGTGATATGATTGTGATTGATGACATGTGCATATTCATTATTCATCCCATGTGTGAACTATCTGTTGCATAAGTTCTAAGACACTGATATGAGGATGGATGGATATGAGACACAGTTGAGACTAGCTCCGGCTAGAGATATATGAGATGGACTAGCTCCGGCTAGCGATTTGGATGCCGATGGGATCTGGTTCCGGCGGTGATACATGGTCCATGTGTGGCCCCCATGGGTTCTGATTTGAGTATTCAGCGCGGACTGATTACGTCAACAGATGTGTATCGTAGGACAGACATGCATCATGACTACATGACATTATTATTGCATTTGCATCGCATTTGACTTCATCTTTGTCTGTGGTGTGTGGATTTTACCTATTTGCCCCTCTTCATGTGATATATGATCTATTTGCTCTTACATGAGGATATGAGGTTGATGTTGAGACACTGTTGGATATATCTGTTGATTATGAATTGTGTAGTATAGGTTGTTGGTTCGCTGTTAGAATGAAGTTTCGGTGGTTCGGTTGGGATTGAAAGGAGTTGTTTGTAGCTGCTAGTTTAGCTTAGTTTAGTGTTACTTGCGAGTACCTGTTGCTTTTGGTACTCACCCTTGCTTCTACACAGTTGTGTAGGTTGACAGCTCTATCAGATCCGACTTATTACTCATCTTCAGATTAGAGCTTCCAGACTTACTTGAGAGGTAGCGGTTCATTCCAGACGTGCCCTCAAGTTATCTATATTTATTGTTTTGTTATATTCTAGAACTTTACTATGAAACTTGTATATTTTATTCAGATTCCGTATTAGAGGTTTGTACATGTGACAACCAATTCTGGGGTTATGTTGAGTTTATTTAAAGACTTCTGCTTATCTTTCTATCTTATTCTTGTTTTATTAATTCCGTATCGTCGGGTTTTTGGGTGTTAGGCTAAAGTGTCCGGTGGGGTTTGGACATGTGTCATCACATCCGGTTTTGGGGTGTGACAAAAATGGTATCAGAGCCCCAGGTTCATAGGTCTCACGTGTACAAGCCAAGTCTAAGTAGCGTATCGAGGATCGGTACGGAGACGTCTGTACTTATCTTCGAGAGGCTATGGTGACTTTTAGAAAAGATTTTTATTACTTGATTCTCTATCGTGCGTCCTTGGTTCGATCTAATTCTTATCACTTCACTCTGTTCTCTCTCTCATTATAATGACTCGTGGTTGGTCCTGCGTTGGTGCGAGTTTAGGTGTCATCGCGTGATTTTAGTATTAGATCTGGTTTTGATGCGGATGTGATAGGCTTGTGGAAAGGAAGTGTGATCAGACATGGAATTCTCTTCGAGACGAGTGAGTAAGGTTGTGTCCAAGGGATGTGTTTGGAGTTTATGGTATTGGAAGATGAACATTTATTAAGAGACTTCAGAAACGTCTTATTTCTCCGGTCATTTATTCAACAACGAGAATAGTGCTTGTGTGACTTATACGACGGAAGTGGCTAGACAATAAAGAATGGTATAAGTAAGAGAATGACTATGTTGAGAGTGCTGCGACTTTGGAAACTACAGTTTGTGAAGTTCGTCATAAGGGAATGGATTACGTAGTATGTTATGATGATGAAGTTGCACCAACCAAAATCAGAAGTTCTACGGTGGTTTTATATTGTGGGTGTATATCATTACAAGGTCATTGTACGGCGACTACAACGGTACTCGTGTTATCTTGGTTAGGGTTATGGGCTATGTTGCTTCTGCCATCGATCGGGCTTATGAAATTGTGCATATCATTTTCGGCCGAAGACTGAAGTGTTTTGGTAATGTTTTGCAACTATTTAATGAGTGTAAATGAACAGGTTGTTTGAGTACGACCTTCTCAATGGATCTGATGTCTTCTAGTGGTGGATTTAGCGGTTGTTCATGATGTGGTACTAGTGATATATGGAAGAGGAGAACTCTGAATTGTCAGTTGTTTCACCTAATCGGGTCAGAAGGTTGATGTTGCATTCTCGATTAAGAAATCAAGTGGTTGCTACTATGAATGCTTGAGTTAAGCATTAATTATAAGGAAAATTGTAGTGGTGGATCGAGTGAATCGATCCTGTCCTTTTTCTAGGACAAGGTACGACCCTTGGGTGGTCATGATTATATTGGGAACTAATGACTTCAAGATGAGTCAAAAGAATGGGCAACATTAAGCCATGGATGAAGAAATTTTTAACAAGTATACTCGTGAAAAGGCAATTAAGGATTTTAGCGAGAAGGTACGATTAAAAAGGAATTGGGTTGGTTTTGTCAAGATGTGGGTTGACAAGGTAAGAGATGATTGGTTGTATCAACTTTTTAGCCATTGGAAGGACTTTTGCATGGTTTGAGTTGTAGCAGTTAAATACTTGTGATTGTAGAAGAGTTCGATGAAGTTTCATTTGAGAAGTTTGACTTAAGGTAAAAGGTAATATGCGATGGATGTTTGGCCAATAAACTATAATGATAAATGATTTACGGGAAGAACAAGAGTCTTGCACGATGGATATAAGTTAAGAGATGTGAAGGAATAAGACATCACGTGTAGATCTTTAGTTTAAAGTTGAGGATTGTGTAAATTTCTGCTTTTATGTTAGATATGACAATGCAAGGTGGACTGGTTCAGCACAAATGTATGATGTGTTATCAACTACTTTCTGAACACTTGGTATTGGTGTTGGTGGTAAACATTGATGTATGAGGAATTCTGCAGTTTTTGAATTGGTTTGAATTGTTCAGCTTATGGTAGGTGGCTTACGAGTGTCCAACCGGAAGGACTTATAGCTCTACATGGTTATTGAGGATTTTGAACTGAGTTGATAACTCTATTTATGGAATTATCCAGACTGTTATAACGCGTTACATAGATCCTTGATGGCAAATAGAGGTTGTGTGCTCCTAGTAGACGGAATTATTGGAGTGACCAAGAACTGCTTCAAGTTTCTGCATGAGATATATGATGGTATGAATAATAGTTGAAGCTGGGTAAGTAAAGGATCGCGTGTAATCGATATTGGTCGTGATTCAATAGTTCTATCTCAATGAAAAGGTACTATGACATTTAGAACTTGGATTATTAGCGATTGGGTGAGACCCATATTGATCGTGGAATGCTTCAATGGAAGGAGGAAGGACCATAATTCAAAATTTTGGAAGCAACGATGTGTTTCTAAGAATGACTGGGTACTAGTAGCCATCTGAGGGTAAAGTAACTGGCCGGTGTGACTATGATGTTCTGGTAGTATTGATATTGTTGGCTTTAATGGATTATTGTAAAGAGTATGAGAAAATGGATAAATTGAGTATGTCTATGATTGTTATGAGGCCGGACTGGCTGATTGTGAAGTCAGACGAATGAGAAGGTGTGTTATGGACATCGTGGAAGGGATATCTTGGGTTGTTCAATTTTGGTTTTGTATATTCTTATGTGACCACCTACCTCATTTTAGATATGGTTTTGGATTATGATTCTCTGTCTATGTTCAGACGTGTTTTTACTTTTGTGGTTGGATGCCTAGTGGTGAATCGGATGGACCGATTCATGTTCTCTTGGTAGAATAGAATACTTATGTGGGTGGGCCGATTCAGAGATAGTGGGTTCGATGTGGAATTGGTGGTGTTCATTGCGAGGTATTTACTTATCATAGGAGCCTACAGTACATATTCACTCAGCGGGATCTGAACTTGAGACAACGTAGGTGGCATGAGTTGCTCAAGGACTACGACATGACCATTTTGTATCACCCCAGGAAGGCCAATGTGGTGGCCGATGCCTTGAGTAGGAAGACTCCTAGTATGGGGAGTCTTGCCGCGATTAGTGTTGAGAGACGGCCTTTGGTTCGGGATGTTCAGAGGTTATTTGACAGCATGGTGAGATTTCGGGTTTCTGAGGAAAGTGGAGGTGTGTTTGCCTTCATTGAGGCCCATTCATCTTTGATGGAGCAGATTAGAGAGCATCAGTATGAGGATGTGAAGTTATGTCTCATCCGGGACAAGGTGATGAATGGTGAAGCCAAGAAGGCTAAGATTGACTCCGAGGGTGTATTGAGGATTGAGGGCCGGATATGTGTGCCCAAGGTTGGTGATTTGATCAGATTGATTCTTGAGGAGACTCATTATTCTAGGTATTCTATTCATCCCGGAGCGGCGAAGATGTATCATGATCTTAGTCAGCACTATTGGTGGTGTGGGATGAAGAGGGATATTGCAGAGTTTGTGGCTAGGTGCTTGACATGTCAGCAGGTCAAGTGTGAGCACCAGAAGCCTGGTGGTGTGACTCAGAGGATGCCCATTCCTACTTGGAAGTGGGAGAGGATTGCTATGGACTTCGTAGTTGGATTGCCTACCACCGTGGGTGGTTATGATTCTATATGGGTTGTCGTCGACAGACTGACCAAGTCTGCTTATTTCATCCCGGTCCGAGTGAGGTATACAGCGGAGAAGTTGGCTCAGATTTATATTAGTCAGATTGTGCAATTACACGGAGTGTCGGTGTCCATTGTGTCTGACAGGGGTTCAGTATTCACTTCTCATTTCTGGAGAGCATTACAGCATGATTTGGGCACTAGACTCGACATGAGCACAGTTTTTCACCCTTAGACTGACGGTCAGTCTGAGAGGACTATTCAGGTGTTGGAGGATATGCTTCGGGCTTGCGTGATCGACTTTGGTACTAGATAGGATCAGCACTTGCCATTGGCAGAGTTCGCCTACAACAACAGTTATCATTCTAGCATTAGGATGGCACCTTTTGAGGCACTGTATGGTAGGCGGTGTAGATCACCTATTGGATGGTTTGATTCAGCGGAGGTGGACTCCCTTGGTACTGATATTCTTAGATAGGATATGGAGCGTGTTCGTGTGATTCAGAGTAGGCAGAAGAGCTATGCTGACAGGAGGGTTCGACCCTTAGAGTTCATGGTGGGTGATCGAGTTTGGCTTCGGGTATCGCCCATGAAGGGTGTGATGAGATTTGGGAAGAAGGTCAAGCTCAGCCCTAGGTTCATTGGCCCATATGAGATTTTGGAGAGGATGGGAGAGTGTCACGACCCGAGAGTACCCCCTAGTCGTAACATGGCGTATTCGACCCCGAAGGGGCCTTATACGAGCCACATAGTCATTCATTGCATTCAATAATGAAAATAGTGCGGAATAAAAAAAAAACTTATTTACATCCACACATTTAAACTTCTTAAAACAACTTTAAAAACACACAGCGGAAGTCTAAGTCTCACATGGCCATCTTAGACACAGTCGCAAAACATAAGTAGGGACACGACCCTTTACAATCAAAAGAAGTCTATTAAGTCTATTACATGAACAAAAGGACTTAAAAGTCTTATCCTCGAATCCATGAGGACATACCAAGTCTTGGAGGAAAGCAATCCAACACTTCAAACTAGCTAGGAGTGATCACTTGCCGGAACCTACACTTATAGAAAATAGAGAAATATGGAATTAGCACAATTAAGTACTAAGTATGATGACCATGCAAAACATGCTTTAAAAAGGGACATTTTAGTTAGAAACCATGCATTATGCCACCTTTTTGAAATATCATGAACAATAGTATAAAAGACATACAAGACAAGCATAACATCAAGTAAGTCATAATATCACCTTTAAACAATATCAACATGAAAACATTTACCTTGGACCTTCACCTTAAGAAACCCTTATGCTATACCTCGTGCAATGTATGGATGACGTCCCATACCACCATCCATACTAAGGCACCACATTTAGGTCACTTAAAGTAACTTATCATTCCTTCTTTCACCTTTGCACAATATTCATACATAAGAGGTATATCATTAATTAAGACATGACAAGGGAAAATAACTCATAATATAACCCAAGTATAGCATGCATCTCATATTAAACATTCGAGAGCCAACATTCTTTAATAACCTCATTTAGGGCACATTTGTGTCACATACATTAGGATTTAGAGAAACTCACTATGACCCTCTCCAAGCCTACTCGTGCAATGTATAGGTAGCATCTCATACTACTACCTACACTTTGTAGAGCTTATCAAGAAACCATAATAAAATCTCACATGATGGGAAGTAAGCGTTTAACCGACATAGACCATGAGAGCTTGTCATGGAATCCGGTGTCATAAGTCCCCACACCGTAAAGAGGTGGTCTACTTGCCTAAGGAAGACCGGTATATAGCTTAATGGATCCACTAGCTTCCTATGCGGGCACATAGTTTATGGGATAAGGTAGACGATCATTGAAACTCATGCCTAACTGTCGGGGGAGTTTCCATCTAACCAAATCCGCTCGGTGCTTAGCCTACATTCCCATAGAATAGTTCATTACTTTGACATCATCACACATAAAAGGGTGCCATAAGCCTACCGATTCAAGGTACATTATTTAACACATGAAAGGGTGCCATAAGCCTACCGATTCAAGGTACATTTAGGAAAGCTCATTAACTCCTCTTGAAAGGGTGCCATGGGCCTACCGATTCAAGTCTCATCATTAACCTTTATGGAAAGGTGTCATAGGCCTACCGAATCCAAGGTTCATTACTTATCATTAATGGAAGGGTGCCATTAGCCTACCGATCCAAGGTTCATTATAAGCATGTGTGGAAGGGTGTCATTAGCCTACCGATCCAAGGATTCAATAATCAACAATATAATCATTTATACAAGAAAAGGATGCATAAGCCCTACCAATTGAAGGTATACTTTACATTGAAGAATCCTTCATATTCTATCATCAACATTCATGAGTGTCAAATTGAGAAATAATCTTTCAATAGTAACACATTTACATTCATAACATGATCACATTATCTTCATTGAACTCTCATTCATACAATGTCATGATAACACTTCAATTTCTTATACTATGCCTTCAAGGCCATGGTCACAATGTAACAAACAAGTAAACAATTCTAAGTCAACATTAGCTCCTCATGTCTTGCCTTTAAGGCCATGGTCACAATACATTCCATAATTAAACACCTCCACCATAAGTGGATCAAACCAAGCAAAAACAATTTTATCCCTAATATGAGATTAAGTCAACTTACCATCCTCCAAAGCCATAATAACCATTACTCAATTCCCAACAATTCTATCACCACAAGGTGATTCACCCATAATTTGCCCATAAGGCCACAATCCTCAATTCATCCATATACCAACAATTCATCAACATTAAATCATAGGCATTGAACCCACTTCATAAACAAATTCAAGTCTTTTAATGAAAACATGGGTTCTTGAAGAAGTTTCATATAAAATCATCTTAAAATCCTAAATACAACTTCAATTCACCAATATAATGACTTTGAAAACATTTTATCCATGAACCCATACCTAGAATAGAAAATAGAAATTTTGTTCTTTGAAGACTTTTGAAACCCTTTTTAATGGACTCCTTGAAGGAAAGATAATCAAGGATCAAGGGTCACCATACCTTTGCTATGATTTCCCAAGAAAATTGATGAAGAAAGCCTTGAATCCAAGCCCTAGCTCCAAGTTCTTCTTCTTCTTAATGGAGGATTGTAGAGAGGGAAATGTTTTTAGGGATGGGAATTGGATTATGGTATCTAGGAAATAATATAAGTCCTTTGAAAAAAAGGGTCCAACACTTAGAAAAATTTTCAGGCGGGTGAACAGTAATGAACAGTAACATTAGCTACTGGAATTTGCATTTTCTGCCGGACAGACTTTACGAAAATGGGCATAACTTCTTCCTCCGAACTCCGAATGAGATGAAACGAAGTGCGTTAGGTAGCTAACTCAAAGGGCTTTCCATGGATATATTATGACCACCCAAATAATTTGTGTGCTAGGAGATATGACCCTCCAAAGTAGACCCTCGAAAAAGGCTTCACTTGGAAATTTCGGATTTTGATACGGTTGCTCTAAAATTTGGGTTAGACCCATTTCCCACTCAATTTGACCCCCTAAACAAGAATATGAAGTCGGATTTTCGAAAAACGAAACGGATCTTTTAGTATACCGCTAAACAAGTTTCCGGTAACTTCCGAAGCACATTTTTAAGAACTTTTGGGTCAAATTCAAATATAATCATTTCATTAAGTTCTCGACTCCAAACTCACATGTGAGGCTCTAGTTTCACTCTATCATTTTCCGAGTCGTTACAGAGAGGTGGCTTACAAGTTAGCCTTGCCACCTAGTTTGACAGTTGTGCATCCAGTTTTCCATGTTTCTATGCTCCGGAAGTATGTTCCGGATGAGTCTCACGTGATTTCGGTTGAGTCGGTGGAGTTGAGTCCAGATTTGACATTTGAGGAGGAGCCTATAGCTATTTTGGACAGACAGGTTCGCAAGCTCCGGACCAAGGATATTGTTTCAGTGAAGGTTCAGTGGAGGCATCGATCAGATAGGGAGGCGACTTGGGAGTCCGAGGATGATATGTGGGTCCGCTATCCCGAGCTTTTCGAGGCTTCAGGTACTTTCTTTTACTTTATGTTCGAGGACGAACATGGTTTTTAGTGGTGAATGATATAATGACCCGAAAGGTCATTTTGGTGATTTTTCGTGGAAATGACTATTTTGCCCTTTCGGTAGTTGCCCCGAGTCCCATGTTTTGTGGTTGTAAAGTTGGTTTGAGGAAAAGTTGGTAAAAAGTTGAGTTTTTGAGAAGTTGAGTTTTTTACGAGTTAAAGTTGGTTAAAAGGTGCTTTTTCGAGTCATTTGGAGTTTCGGGACTCGGATCGGATTTCCGTCGATTCCGGCAGTTTTAGAATGTCGAAACGGGTCTGTGTGAAGTTACGGAGTTGAATTTGGAGTTGAAACGAAGAATTGAGGTCCTAAGTTGCTAAAGTTGTGAAATTTTGATAAAGAGTTGACTTTGGTCAACATATGAGGTTCCGAGGCTCAGATTGAAATTCCGAGAGTACCGTTGGTTTCGGGAGGCGATTCTAAGTCTAGAATGAGTCTTGGTTGAATTTTTAGACGCTCCGTTTGAGTTTCGAATTTTTTTGGCGTTAAACTAGTTTCTTGGCATCTTATTGAATTTCGGGTCAAGGAGTCCTCGAATTCAAATTCCGACGGTTCCATTGAGTCCGGAACGTCGAATTTAGTGGGGGTACATATTTAGTTTGTGTGCACGAGATTCCGAACGAATCCCGAGGGTCCAACGGGAACTTAAACTTTGGTATTATTGTTGTGTTTCAGCTGCAATAGCAGTCCTTTTTAAGTCAAAAACTAGTAGCCATTTTCCCCCAACTTGAAAAATACTCATTTCTCCATCTTTAGACTTTGAGAGCTCGAAAATAGGTGATTTCAAGTGGGTTTTCGCAAGGAATTCATTGGGTAAGTTATTTCCAACTTAGATCTTTGATTTCCATCGATTATTTATGGATTTTAACATCAAAATTTGAGATCTCAACTGTAAAATTTGGGGTTTTTTGCCTAATCCGAATTTAATAGAAAATTTGAGTTTGTAAACTCATTTCAACTCCTTTTTCGAAACGGTTTTCACTATTGGATTCTAAATTTCTTGGGGAACATTTTTCACTAAAAATTTCCAGATTTCGAGAATATTTTCCGGAACGAGATTTTTTTACCATTTTACCCTTTTTCTCCAAATTTCACGATATTGGTGTTGTTAGATTCGTATTGATTGTGGGATTCCATTTATGAATAGATTGTGGTGATTTGGAGCATGCTCGGAAGGGTAAAACTCAAATTTGAGTTACTAGTTGAAGTGTTTTGAGGCAAGTGACTTCTAAACTTTGTTAAACTCTTAGGCTACACATGACTACTTTCCTAATTGTGTTGGGGAGTAATGGGGATTGAGGATGAGTTTTATTTGTTGATTGAAATTGTTGTAAATGAAAGATGGGGAATAAAACGAGCTAAGTGTGTTATATGTGACTTGAATTTGTTGAATAAGTCATGTGATAACCGATATTGAGGGGATAGAAGAGCATGAGTAAGCTATGATTGATACAGACATTGATGTTGAGACAGATGATGTGTAATACTATGATGTGGTCGTGATATGGTTGTGATTGAGACAGATGATGTGTAATATTATGATGTGGTCGTGATATGGTTGTGATTGAGACAGACGATGTGTAATACTATGATGTGGTCGTGATATGGTTGTGATTGAGACAGATAATGTGTAATACTATGATGTGATCGTGATATGATTGTGATTGATGACATGTGCATATTCATTATTCATCCCATGTGTGAACTATCTGTTGCATGAGTTCTGAGACACTGATATGAGGATGGATGGATATGAGACACAGTTGAGACTAGCTCCGGCTAGAGATATATGAGATGGACTAGCTCCGGCTAGCGATTTGGATGCCGATGGGATCTGGTTCCGGCGGTGATACATGGTCCATGTGTGGCCCCCATGGGTTCTGATTTGAGTATTCAGCGCGGACTGATTACGTCAACAGATGTGTATCGTAGGACAGACATGCATCATGACTACATGACATTATTATTGCATTTGCATCGCATTTGACTTCATCTTTGTCTGTGGTGTGTGGATTTTACCTATTTGCCCCTCTTCATGTGATATATGATCTATTTGCTCTTACATGAGGATATGAGGTTGATGTTGAGACACTGTTGGATATATCTGTTGATTATGAATTGTGTAGTATAGGTTGTTGGTTCGCTGTTAGAATGAAGTTTCGGTGGTTCGGTTGGGATTGAAAGGAGTTGTTTGTAGCTGCTAGTTTAGCTTAGTTTAGTGTTACTTGCGAGTACCTGTTGCTTTTGGTACTCACCCTTGCTTCTACACAGTTGTGTAGGTTGACAGCTCTATCAGATCCGACTTATTACTCATCTTCAGATTAGAGCTTCCATACTTACTTGAGAGGTAGCGGTTCATTCCAGACGTGCCCTCAAGTTATCTATATTTATTGTTTTGTTCTATTCTAGAACTTTACTATGAGACTTGTATATTTTATTCAGATTCCGTATTAGAGGTTTGTACATGTGACAACCAATTCTGGGGTTATGTTGAGTTTATTTAAAGACTTCTGCTTATCTTTCTATCTTATTCTTGTTTTATTAATTCCGTATCGTCGGGTTTTTGGGTGTTAGGCTGAAGTGTCCGGTGGGGTTTGGACACGTGCCATCACATTCGGTTTTGGGGTGTGACAAATATTTTTTAAAATAATTATTATATATCTACCTTTGAATAAGTACCTTTTGAATTGTACGATTTCCAAGTAATTTTTTTTTATTTACAGTAGTAGGAATATTGTTACTTTCATGATGATGGATGAAGAAAATTAAAACTTTGATTACTTCAAAAGTTTATCAAAGACCAAGTATTCCTCCCTTCTTTTTTCTTTCAATGTTTATCTAGTTGAAATTTTTAATCATCGAGAATTACGATAAGATGAATATGATTCCTTGACGTTTAACTAGAGGTCTCGATTTCGACTTTTGATTATAAAAGAAATCCTAATAGGGAGTGTTTCTCTCTTAAATTGATCTTATATGACGTAAATTTAGATTAATTAGGATCTTAGTATAGATGTCGAACACCAGAACAGAAACCATTAAAGTAAAATCTAGTTGATTTCTAATTTGACATTTTCCTTTATCTTGTATTTGAAGTTAATTTATACCTAATTTAGGAAAAAATATTTTAAAATATTATTCTTGGATCAGTATAAATACACCCTTTGATATCCTAAGTTTCACACAAAATTAAAGTATTTCAAAGTACATCTTAATTAGAAGAATGGCAAGCAAAATAACTTTCTGTGCTCTACTCTTTTGCTTTTTTCTCATGTTTGCTTCTGGTGAGTAATTCTCAAAAAAAATTTTATCATTATTTGTTACTTTTCTTGGAACATTATAAGTTCAATTTTTTTGGGTTTATAAGTTCATGTTAAGTTTTATTTTTTTCGCTAGTTTCACATCTCAATTTATGATCAAAAGCATATTTGAATATTGTCACTTTTTTTTGCTAGTTTCACACGATAAATATCAGTCGTTTCCCTTTTTCCTACTTGAATTATCACCATATACTCAACTAGGTGTATTTTAATACATAGATAGTGATAGTTCAAGTAGGAAAATGAAACAACTGATAGTTAATGTATGGAACTCGTGAATAAGTGATAATTCAAATGTGTTTTTGACCATTATCTTTTTTCTATTTAAATCATTGATTAGCTCATCTAATTCAATATAACTTTAAAAATTAATCAAATTAATTTTTCGGAAGCAATAAACTGTCACATAAATTGAAACTTAAAGAAGTAATAAAAACCATGAAATGACATGTTTTAATTTATAATTTTTATTATTTCCTAAGATTTATTTTTTTATCCTATGATTTTTAATGCAGAGATGCAGATAACAGAAGCGAAATACTGTAGAAAGCCTAGTAAAGGGTGGAATGGGAAATGTTTTGAAAAAAAATGTGACAATTGGTGCAAAAATAAGGATCATGAAGATTATGGAGATTGTTACAAGGGATATTGTTACTGCTATTATAAATGTTGAAACCTAAAATAATGAAGCACAATATATGGCCATAAGACTTTACTTATGGCACAATGTGTCTTATATAATGTATGATTGAATAAAAGTCTGCGATTACATGTTTAATATCGCAAGAATAATGATCATAAATTATTTATGGTCTAAATGTTTGTAACTTGATGTTTTATATATGAAAGATATGGTATAAATATGTGTCTTGGCAATTATATATGTTTCTGTATATGTTTGGGACCATCAAGATCAACTTTTATGAATTAAATCTATATTATTAGAATACCTTATATATTACTTACTAATCCAAATTCATCTTATATATATGATGAGTACATATTTATAATTATTGATCTTTTCAATTTTGTTTCACAAATGATGATCAGTACATATAAAGTGATATCAAATCAAAAACAATTTTCTTATAGTCAAACTTATTTGTAATCGATATTTACATATAAAATGCTAAATTTTATATAAACATCAAATACAAATAAATTTTTACGCTTAATTATATATGACTTGATGATGATTTTCTATTCAACAACTATAGATACACATACAAGCCATTCCCTTAAAAATGCCTTCCCACAAACATTTTCCTCCAAAAATATACCCCTCATTTGTACATACATTATCACAATGGTAACCATTATAACATTGCCCCTTAAAGTTTTTACTCCATTTGTCACAAAAACCAGCACTAGCACCCTCCACAACTTCAATTTCTGCAAATAACAATAACAATAATAATATAAACAAATAAATAAATCATGAAACTGATTAATTACACTCGAACAAAACTCATGTATGTCAATTTATGGCAAAGGAGTGACGTGACAAGAGGATAGAGAATATTTATATTTTGAATTTCTAACTATGTTCGATTAGGTGAATGCAATAAGAACTGACTACTCATTACATTATAAAGCTAATGTTGTCAACAAACAATCATTCTACCTTATTAATGACTTTTTTTAATAGCCTATCCTCTTTCTTTTTCTATTTTTTTCTCTCTTTTTTGTTCATGCTTTAACTCGGGCTTATTTTATTATTCTCTTTCGATAATATATAGATAATTATCAAATTAAGTTTATCTACTACGACAAATTATTATGCATGCCAATGTACCTAACACGATAATAGGAAAAATATGCAATTATTTGTAATAACAAGTTAAATTGTAATAATAATATAAAAAATCTTTAAACTATCCGTACATATTTAAATTTAAATCTTTTTCATTACTCACCATTTGAACCAATGAGGAACAAGCAAAGAAGTATCACAAGAAACCTAGAATAACAAACATAACATTCAGCCATTTTCAATTTTGATTTCTTTTTTCTATATGAAATAATTAACAAGAAGTTTAATTTGTTATAAGAATTAGGTATATACTAACCTACACTAACAACATATATTTATAGGGACAGTACATAAATTTGGATATCAATAATTGATATGTTATAAAATTAATTAGTTTATTCAAGAAGCAACATTAATTCTTGGTATCTTCAAAATCACCAATGAAGACAATAAATTTACTTTGATAAATAAGAGATAAACTCATGACACTTTTTTATTTTTTTTGTTCAACTTTTTCTTAACCACTTGACTTTTCTTTTTGTTAGTATTGGTTGTTATATTCACTATATACCAATATTTACCTCGATTTGGTTTTGAAAATTATCAATTCCAACATACATAAAACTCCAAAAGAAAAACAATAAATAAAAAAAAAACCTGCGTAATTTCTTGTAAAATATAGGTCAAATATAAGAGTTCAAACTATGCATCGACAATATAAAAATAATTCACACGATAAGATCATAAGGTAATTATAGATAATATTCTTGATAAATACGAAGCAATAATTGGATAAAAATGATAATTAACTAACCTGGTATAACATGTTAAAATTTATTGATAGTTCTATAAAAAAAAATCTTAGTTTGGATTCATCTCTTTTAAGATATAGGTCGATTATAAGCACTAAAATTACAATAGTAATCGTGTAAAAAGTATTAACACAATAAGATTAAAATATATATTAATTGGTAATATGATAAAAATAATAATTAACTAAGCTATCACTTGTTAAAATTCATAATCGATAGTCGTATAAAAAATTATTTACACATCCAACATATATAATTTAAATTTAAAATATAAATATCTAAAAAATTGCTTATTGGATTCTTGTTGCTTAAAGGAATCAAGATTAATATTTCATTATTATGAGACAGAAAATTACAAATTAATAAAACAAAGACGAAAACAGTTCAAACAATTTGTTTTTTCGATGTTTTTCATGCTGATTTGGAATTAAGATTCCAAGAATGTTGCTTCTAGAATCAACTATTTAATTAATTCTAATTTTGAATTGATTAAGAATCCAATCAATTCCTATAAATATCTGCCATTTTATTCCAATTTGCATAGAACTCTTTGCTATTTAATTAGATATAATTAAGAAGAAGTTTGAATATGGCTAAATTTCATATTTGCTTCTCTAGGTTTCTAGTTATACTTTTTTGTGTACTCCTCCTTGTGTCAAATGGTGAGTTAAGAATAAAATAAATTTGGAGCAAATGTTTCATCTAAATGCATAAATTGTTAAAGATCTGTATGTTTATTATTTATGTTGTTTTTTCATATACATTTGAAAAATTCTTTTTAATAATTTGTAGCGATGAGATTTGAAAAATTAGTCTGTCTGCTTTTATAATATGTTGAATTGTGTGATCAATATTTCATCTAAAGTTGTACTACCAGAAAATCGTTATCTCCTACGTAATTCATTAGAATTCGGTTCATCAATAATATTTTCAACAAAATTTTCATCGAGAATCTCATTAAATTCCATAGAGACATCTGTCGAAAATTAGCAATTTCCTGGTAATGAAATTTAAACTTATTTCTACAAACTTTAAAATACTCTAGTGTGAACCACATGTTTTCAAACGCCTTTGTTTCTTTCTTAAATTTTGTATTTATTCAAATAATATGATATAAATTGAGACGGACGAAGTAATAAATTTCATTCTACTCTTTTACTCTTCCTTTTTTTTTTTTTTTTATGTGGATGTAGATATTGAAGGTGTGAAGGATGGAATTTGCAAGCAATTTAGTTCAACATTTAGTGGGCAATGCTATGAGTCATCTCATTGTGAGGAAACATGCATTAAAGAAGGAAGTTCAACAGGAGAGTGTGAGTGGAAAGGAATTCATTGGGGATTTGTTTGTATGTGTGAATATTTATGTTGAGTGAAATTGAGATCATTATCAAAATGCATACATATAAGAAAATATAAAAGCTTAGTCTTGTTTTATAGATATAAAATAAAATAAGATAAGAGAGTTATAATTGAGATGAATAAATAATGTTCTAATTGAGTGCAAAATAATTAAGAAAAGAGAGAGTGTTGTATAAGTGAATAAGTGTTCTTGATGTTACTTCTATTGTACGATATTGAAAATAAATAATTCAATGTATAAGATACATCTTTCATCTACTTTGTAGTTTTGCTATTTGTTGAAGTGTGTAATCCGTAAAAAAAAATAAAAAATTGGTTCCAACTCAATTTCAAAAGTTAGCTCATGAGAAAAGGATTTTAAATCTAATTTTTCTCATTCTACCGACTTAACATGACTATCTCATGATCTTAGAGTTTAAATTGTCGAAGAGATCATACTTTTAATTATGTCTTCAGTAAGTCCTTTCACGTGAGAGTTTGATTCTTTTAATTTGCATTTAAGTCAAGCGTGTGAAAATTCTTTTTAATAATGAATGGCGGTGAGACTCGAATTGAACCCATCATGCATGTTGTGGTGTGTGATTATATTATCTCAAAGTTCAAGTTATTAGAGATCATCATACCATATTTATTTACTCAATTATATCCTCAATATGTCCTTTGTGTGCAAGTCTGTTTATTTAAATGAACTAAGCATGTGAATATTCATATTAAAGTGTATAGTCATCTCATCTAAAGACTACATTTTTGTCATTCATCAGTCATGTAAGGGCTTTCAAAGGAATTTAAATGGTCTCGAACTACTCCATCCATTGGCTTAATCCTTAAGATTTTGGATTGGATATTCTAAAATTTTCACACGATATCAGAGCTAAAACTTAGTGAAACTACTTTTTTAACATGTAGGACATGCGTCTACTTGTTTATACAAATTTAAATGTCTATTTGTGCACACTCAAAGTTGGAGGACATAGATAACAACTAAAACTAAGTTGAAAGGCATGTTATATATATAATACGATAAATTATGAAACAATATGTAACAACCATCCAAACATAGTGTTCAAGAATCCTGCAATACTACTATGAGACAAACATAACAAGGATGGAAACAACTCAAACGATTAATTTAATGATGATTTTGAAGATACCAAGAACACTGTATATCTTGAGTCAACTAAATCTAATTACTTTGAATTAATTAAGTAACCAACTTTTTTTTTCTCTCCTTATAAGTATTTTTTTATTAAATTCAATTCATAGAAAACTCTTTGCAATTTGATATAAGGAGAAATTTGAAATATGAGTGAATCTCAAGTTTGCTTCTCTAAGGTTTTGCTCATAATTTTCAGTGTACTCATTGTGTCAAATGGTGAGTTTAAAAAAATGAAAGTAAATCTTTGTTACCATTATTTGATCTTTTCATTTCAGTAACGTTTATGTGATCAGCTTATTTAAAAGTACTCAAGTCAGTAAAAATGGCATACATACATGTGGGTCTGAGATTTTTTTTCCTTATATGGCCCCGTATACACTTGAAAATTCTTTCAGAAATTTTCGCCTTTTTTTCTTTTTGAAATAACTATTTCATTAATGACTTACTTTTTATTTCTCTTGCAACTTATAGACCTTTTAGTTCTTGGTCTAAAGATTCTTTTCGAGCAAGCTAAAAATCTTATAAGAAAACATTAAATTATGATCTAAATTTGTGTAAGTTATTATAAAACGAAAGTCTAATGTTGACCAGTATATGAGAAAACATTAGGCTTGATTCTAACATTGTCCGAAAAGGTAATTTTTAAATTATAACTATATTTGCACAACTTTTTCAAAAAAAGAGATAAAATCTAAATAGTAACCTAAAAAAAAAAGAGTCATTTGAATAAATCAGGCAATTAATTTTTCAATAATATGTGATGATGAGACTTGGGAAC